TTAGAAAGAGGACTTCGAGAGCTATCATTTGTCGAAGTTTCATCAAAATCATAGAAATAGGCTGAATAAGGCTCGAAAGTGTATTTTGCCTATATTTTCCTCATATTGGCTAAATTGCCATCTATGGAGAGCAACTTCAAAAAGGCAGTAAACCCCATAAAATATATACCATTCGAAAGGTAATTTTATAGGGAATCTAAAACAATTTGAAACAATTTTTAGCACTTTAGCTTAAGTGTTTATATTCAAATTGAATAATTCAATGCATAAAAGTTGATATGTTACATTCGATTCGATTTGAAAGTTGCTGATTTGACAATTAATCAAGCAAAAATATGATAAAAAATCAAGGGGGTAATTGGAAATTTTTTAAAAATCAAGGAAGGTAATTTTTGAGACGCTTTTCAGGGGGGTAATATGGGCCCTATGGACCCACGTCAGAATCTATGCCCAGGTAACTGCATTGGCTAATAAGCTATATACCGTTGGAAAGAGGACTTTGAGAGCTGGCAAAGTTTCATCAAAATCATAGAACTAGGTTGCTTGCAATGAGACTCGGAAACCGATTTTTCTCACAATTTTTCATATTTCGGCCACGGCTTTAATTCAAAAAAAGATTACTAATGATTGTCGTTCCTCTTTTCAATGTACTCTTTTCCACATTTGAGTGTTACGCTATGACAACCGTGAAAATGACTGAAACTACACATAATTCGGCCTCAAATTTGACCGTGAATTTGTGCCTTTATATTCATTGATCACTACGCGTGTTTATTTGTGTGTGTGTGTGTGTGTGTGTGTGTGTGTTTGTATTATTTAGCTTTTTTATTTATTCCTTACTTTCTTTTTAAAATAAAATTCATATTCTCTTTTCATGGCAATAATCATAATGATTTTTGATGCATGTATAAAAAATGAAACACTGGGTAATTACCATCTATACTGAATTAAAGAAAATTTTACATTGGATGTTTCTGTTGCTCATTTTTTCGCTAATAATCTCGCACTCAAGTGGATGGTTTTCAGCCATACCACATGCATTACATTCTTTTAATTATCTTTCGTAAATAAAAATATCGCTATTTTTTAAAAGTAAAATGGCATTTTTAAAAATTAGTGATTTAGATGTGTATCCATTTCTGTGTTCTTGTTGTTTTTGTTACAAAACTTGCAAAGCTATTTTATACATTTATATCTTATTTCTTTTAATATTGAGTCAAATGAGATTAAATTACTTTTGGTTAATCGAATGATGAGAAAGAAACATATATTAGGCATACAAATTTCAATGCATGGTTTTGACTTTTTTCATTTAAATTATTCATTTCATTCGCATTTTCAATATGGGACTTGGGAGTTGGGATTTTGAATTATTTCGGGGATCTCGCGTGGAGATTTAATATCTTTCCATCATTCCTTCATCAATTTTCTTTCATTTTCGCTCAAATTTTATTTTATTCTTGTTTTTAAAGAAGATGAATTTCGTTGTGTAAATTAAATTTCAATTTTAACATGTTATCAATTCTTTTTTATCACCAAATTATCACGCAACATTTAATTGTTGCAATTTGTTTTGTTTTTTAAACAATCTCAAAGCATGGAAATAAGACAACGTTGCTTGCCAGCGCCATCAAATGACTTCATATAATTCTATATAGGGTGGCGCATATAATAGGCTCACTCTTAGGGGGTGGGAATTTTGAAAAACACTTTGAGGGTATGTTGGGGATAAAAAATAGAAAATTTATATCTGAGCAGAATTTTGAATTTATCCCCAGGGGGTGGGGGTGCCCCCAATTTTTCAAAAGTTCATCGGATTAAAAAATAATGTACTACAAAGTTGTTCAGAATGTCGAGAGAAATTTTTTAGGATCCCTGTCCCCCAAGGTGTGTTTTTTTGATCTGATACGCCGAAATTCGGAATCAGCATGCAAAAATACCTTTGAACTAATATTTTTCTCATCCACCTTTTTTCAAGAATTCTGGACCTGAGCCCCCCTGGGGAAAAATTCAAAATTCTGCTCAGATAGAAATTTTTCATTTTTTACCCCCAACATACCCCCAGGGTTTTTTCGAAATTCCCACCCCCTAAGAGTGAGCCTATTATATGCGCCACCCTGTATAGTTCTGCGGTTGCCATCTACATGCCTTTGTTTTCCTTACATTTCCTTCCATATCCTAATTAAATTCCATCCTTATCTTATACCTAAATTGTTTCGTTTACTGAATCACTGTAGAGGGCAGTTTCTGTTAATTCATAGTTTATTTTAAATTTTAAAATAGGAAGGGCTGAAGCATTGAGTTTCGCGAGACGGTTTTCTTTGGAATTGATTTTCTAACAGATTTATTGAATGCCCAAAATATTTTCTTTATTATTTTTAAAGAAAAATAGCCCCAAAACCAAGTATATATTGAATTTGCATTCCTTAGTAGGACGATTAAATTCACAGAAACAAATATTCGAGTACGGTTACTCGCAATTGCGGTGTTAGTAGAGCATCAACCCCTCAAAATGAGTTACGCACTCTATTTTACTCTATTTTTTGTGTTAATTTCATCCAAGTGAACGCATCATAGTGAAAGAAGAGATACATGTGTAGTCATAGCCGCATGCGTTCAACGTACATATGAATACACATTAGGGTGGGTCAATTTTTTTGCATCAAAGGCTCATCGTGATTTTGGTTCTATGGGTCCTAACAAGCATTTTTGCCCACGGAACCATAGGTCTAAAATGAATTTCGAGCCAGCCAATTTTTCTATCAAGATATTTTCCAAAATACTCAAAAATCGACTTGGACATTGCATTAAAAATTCAAAAAAACATTATTTTTTCTCTAGCCAAATGTATATGCGGGGGCCCTCCGAGACAATTTTCACAAAAAGTAGGATCCCCGCATTTGGGGTCAAATACTGTGAGACTATGGGTAATTTTGTGAAAATTGTCTCGGAGGGCATCTGGAAAAAACATTTTCTAAAGGTTTTTTGGCATGCGGAAGCCGAATTTTTGGGTTTCAGGTCAAAAAAATCAGGGGTTGAGGGGCTAGAACCCCCGACCTTCTAGGGGTGAGGGAGTTGGAGGGCAGCTGACCCAAAAAATTTCTCTCATCATTCCACAGCATTGAAATCCCTACTACCGTGCTAGATGGTGTCGACACGAGTGGACGGATTTTTAAATTTATTTGAACGACGCCATGTTACTATATTTGTCCATTACAACGTACATGTAACAGAAGAAATACACAGTCCATGTCCACGCTATTGGACATAAACGATTTGAACCATCAATGTGAACTAGATCAAGTATAGAACTTTACATAGGATCATATACGATGAATATGGATTACACAGTCTGTTTCAAAATACCCTCACCAATGTCGACACCATTTGACATCAAAATTTTGACAGTAAAAATATGTGTTATTGCTGTTGTCGTTTCATTGCTGTGCATCATTCTGAACAACTTTGTAGAACATAATTTTCTGATCCGATGATTAAATCGACATCAACAGAAAAAAATTGGAAAAAAAAGAAGAAAACGACCATTTTTGCCCGTTTTTGTATGGAAATCGTATAAAAACGTTATTATATGGCAAAATAAATGTCAAAAATGGATTCATGAACCTCAAAAACCCCCGCATACACATTTGGCTAGAGAAAAAATAATGTTTTTTTTTAATTTTTAATGCAATGTCTAAGTCGATTTTTGAGTATTTTGGAAAATATCTTGAAAAAAATTGGCTGGCTCGAAATTCATTTTAGACATATGGTTCCTTGGGCAAAAATGCTTGTTAGGACCCATAGAACCACAATCGCGATGAGCACTTGAAGATTTTTTCGGTCCCCTACAAATTGACCCACCCTACTACACATGTATCTCTTCTTTAACTACGATGCGTTCACTTGGATGAAATTAACACAAAAAATAGAGTAAAATAGAGAGTGCGTAACTTATTTTGGGGGGTAGATGCTCTACTAACACCGTAAGTGCGAGTAACCGTACTCGAATATTTGTTTCTGTGTATATCAAAATAATAATAATTCAGTAGACCAGCGGTATATATACGATACAGTAATGTGCGAGCTCAGTTTATCAGAAGGGATATTTTTTAAAACTCACAATCTGAATTTTATCTTATGTAATCTGGTAAAAAAAATTGATGACCAAAAAAGGTTCCACTATTTTCAGCAAAAACCCCCAATAAATCGAAAGAATTTATACATCAATCAAAAAGGGTGATTTTGATTTTTTTTTTTTTTTTATAAATGGAAGTAATATATTATTCATCGCAATGACTGCGATGTGAGTTAAGTATAGTAAATATGGCACCAAAAAATCGTATATATGTAACAGAAAACTAAACTAAATCGGACCTTCATTTTCTGAACTATTAACCAAAATAAATAATCCCTCCCATTTTATTGTGATTTAATCACAGCATTAAGCTTTTTGTTTGTGCTTTGAGTTCAAAGTGCAAATGAAGCACCTTTTTTAAAGAAGTAATCACAACTGAATTTATGTAGGAATCACAAATTAAAAGACATTCTTAGTTTGCAAGTAGTGTGAAGCTTTTGACAATCACTTGATAATAATCACGTTTTCTTCATACGCTTAATTTTTCATCACAAAATGTTCCAAGATAAATAAAGCGAGTATGTACGAGAAAAACTAAAAAAATGGTGTATGTTTTCAAGAAAAAGAGATCGTATTTCAAAAGTGAGACATAAAGCAAATAAAATGACTATTGAAATTTTAATTTATAAAAAACTACTACATTCTCTGGTTCAACATTTTTACTTTCATAACCTACTCGCTGTTATCATCTACTAGTATCCCCACAATTATTTTTTGTGTTCGGTTCGTTCGTGGTTCGTTCCAATAAGGAATATTTGGTATATATCCAACGAGATGAAGGAGAAAGAAATTGGAGAAGAAAAAGAAGAATGAAATGAACAAAAGCACATAATTTTGGTAAAAAAGAATAGCAATATTTTGTTGATTTTTGTTTTAAAATAATGTTTAAACGGAGGAGATATTTATTTTACCCGTGATATTGACTCTTTATCTTCTATTTTACTTTAAATAAGCTCTTGCTTTGCATCAAGAGATCATTTCTTCATCTATTTAGTGCAGAGTACAGTGGAGACGTACGTGCTGCTTTTGGTATTATCACTATAATTTCTAATATACATTGAAGTTTTTTCCGCTTTTTCCTCATTTTGAAATTGTTTCGCATATATAGCTATAATTATAATAATGCATTTTTGCTTTCGATCAGTGGTTGCGCATGCTTATTGTTTCATTACGTTTTTTCCCTCAAATTATTCGTCATTTCTTTATCATTTTCAATTTGAATTCTTCATTTTGTTTCAATGATGTCGCATATGACGACAAAACAAACATCATTAGACTGATTTCACATATTACGTTTGTTGTCTAATACATTACAAAAAAAGTTAAAAAAAGGAGAAGAAAAATTAAAATGATATTTGTTCAGCAATATTTCTAGTCTAAATAAACATATTTCTAATAATGTATTAACGTATTTGTTTTTCAATACATAATTCTTACAAATATTCGCGAAAGAGTGCGCGATTTAAGATTTTCTCTCCTTCCGTTTCATTACACATTCTCAGTTTCATTTCACTTTTCGGTATACCAATGACTGATTTTCAATAATGCGTTGGGTTTTCGATATGTTGTGCATTGAGGTGATTCTGATTTTTGGTTGTAAATTCGGAGGCCCTGTCGCCCTGTCGCCTTGCAACTTCTCTTTTATTTTGGTATAGTTTGACTTTCATTTATTTTCCATTCCGGAAGATCTGATGGCACATTTGGACAGCTTATATTACAATTTCTATTTTTGTAAGACAATATCATGCGACTGCAAGAATATTTGTGTTTGTGTGATTTTTTATTCTATATATCTTGTTTACTGCTTTCTGGAATTACTTGGCCAGCGAATTATTCGGTTGCTTTGGAAGTTTGTTTAATCTATAAAACCGATAGTGAAGCGCTTTTCTCACAATTATGTCTCGGTACAGTAAAATTATTTTGTGTTAACATTACCGCCGTTTGTACGATCAGTTTGCATAGGAGACGCGATTTGTGCTCCACTCAATTGCTGAAGATCGGACACATATCTAAAATAATGTAAATTTTGAATAACACCACAAAAAAAGCAAATAAAAAGGATTATTTTTACGTTACAACAAAAATAGATCAAAATTTACCTTAAGTCACACACTTGCCCAGTGGTCGCATCATAAACGTTACCCGTTTCGGATGTTGCATTAATTGCTGATCCCAATTCACCCGATGCAACACTATTTATCGTTGCGATGCTGTTCGCTGTTGTTCGATTATCACGATGTACTCGATTGTGATGTCTGAAATAGTATAGCAGTTTATTCAAAATATTCAATTTTTGGATCGATCAATGAATTTACCTAATCAAATAGCTATCCCGTATGAATGTTCTTCCGCAAATGGTGCACTCGTAGTTTTGTCCTGCTGAATGTGTTCGAATATGAACTGCGAACTGAGCTTTGCTCGTGAATGTCATGGAACAACGATCACAGCTTAAAGGTTTTTCGGAAACATGTGACCATCTACATACAATACAAAATCATTCCATTGGGTTTAATTTACCAACATATGACATTCTACGTAACTGTTTTTTTTTATTTACCTGTGAGCAGTCACGTAACTTTTAACAGCAAAAGTTTTATTGCATAAATCGCATGCATATGGTCTCTCACCTGAAATTGAAAGTCTATCAGTGAATTTTCAAATTCAAATAAAACAGGGGTTGAATGAAGATGTGTGTGTGTGTGTGTGTGTGTGTGTGTGTGTGTGTGTGTGTGTGTCTGTGTGTGTGTTGCATGCATCGAAAATTTCGGAGGATTTTTGTGAAAATAAAATTGAGAGAGGAAGAGCGCGCCCACGCAAAAATAAATTATAAAATTATAGCGGCTGTTTCTAATCATATAAGAATCGTGAACAAAAAACAAATGTTGGTCAAAATTTTATCGATGTATTCTAAAGAAATAACTATATATAATCTATAATATTAAAGGCGATATTGATTCTAATATGTTTAGAACGTTTGTGACTCTAGCAAAGTAGAAACAAAAAAAATTAACGTTATGTGATCCAGAAGCCGCTAAATTCCTATTTTCATGGTCAATTTAATGTGATGTGTATTTTTTTTTCTATTTTTAATTAATTATTTTACACCTGCCTGTATGGATTCTTTTGTGAATGTTCAATGACGATTTCTGCGTAAAACGTTTCAAGCACATCTCGCATTGGAAGGGTCTTTCGCCAGTATGAATTCGCATATGTATGTCTAAATATGGCTTACGACAAAATGCGGCCGGACACTGAACACACTGGAACGGTCTTCCTTGCACTACAATTTTGATGACGACGTTCCAGTTTATGGAAATGTGTTTGTGTAATTTTTTTCCGTTTTTTTTTTGTCGTTTAATATAGATGTCAAAAATCAATAGTACATTTCATGAGAAGGAGATTTGAACAATTTCGTTCAACATGGAGACAAAAACGATCGAAGTGAATCAAGAAAATGATGAAAAAATTGAGAGAGAGAGAGAGAGAGAAAGTAAAATTACAAAAAAAAAATAATTAGCTTTCTGTAAATACAGAATATTGTTTCTATTAAGAGACTGTAAGAAGTTATATTAGAAATATTAGATAGAAAGGAAATATTTTAATAATTAAAAATAAAATCTGCTATAATATTAGTGAATGGGTTATGCTTTGGAACGAAATTTTCTCTTGATTTTATTATTTTTTCTTATTCAATGTATTTTTGGTCAGTTTTAACGTAAAATTTCGATCCAATGCAAGTGTGTGATCATACATGGGTACAGGAGTGCAAGCCTGTATTAACCACCCTTAAATCTTTCATGTGGTCCAACTTTTGAAGAATGAATGAAGCGAATGTAAGCTTTTCAATATATTTTCTTCTGAAAAAAAAAATCGTCTTCAAATTCATTCCAATGATAGGAGACTATTAATTTTATATACCCATGTATGTATATCAAGTAATATATGGATGGGGCTGAAATGAATTGGTGTGAGTGATAAGGTTCATTTTGGAGAAAAGTAATGAATTTCACGGTTTTATTCGACTTTTGCCATAAATTTTACCTTTTTTCCTACCAATTCAAGTTTGTTTTTAATTTTTCGTTCCCTTGATTTATATAAACATACTTAGATTGGCATAAAAAACAATTTTGAAAAAGAGCAGATGATTTACTGAATTTGTACGTAATTATGAACAAACTTGATATTTTTGTTTGATTTACTGGCTACAATAAAAATGAGCTTATTATTCAATATAAGTAAATGAAAAGAAAAATGATAATATGCCAATAAAATGAAAAAAAACGTGCTCTTTGGATTAGCATTTTGAAGTTTCAATGAAATGTTCCAATTACAAGCGTAATTGGTGTTCACGGTTATCTATGTTGGAAAAAACCACAAATGGAAGCAATTATAAAAAATATTCAGTAAATCATCCACTTATTAAATATTCTTTCGAAATTCATTAAAAAAGAATCAGAATTCATTGAAACGGTAAACAAAACATAAATATATATAGAAGCAAATTAATCCGAAAATTGTATGACTTTTATAAACATATAAAAATAGTATTGAAAACAATTCGCAAAATTTGAAAAATCATAGACGACAGAAGGTGTCTTATTCTTTTGGTTTGTTGACATAGGTGTTGACGAGGGTTCCTAGGGCTCAGATAACAGCCTATCCCCCCCTCTAAAATATTTTTCGGAACTCTCAACACATTTTTGAAATTCTTTCGATTTGCTAGTGATTCTTTTAAATTTCCTAGGTTTTTTCTATTCAAAAAGTGGTATCAAAAAATGAAAAAGATTCGAATTCCCAGATGTTTTTACAGAAAAACTCCTTTAATTTCTTGGGATTTTCGACACAAAAAATATCTCGAATATAAACGAAAAAACTTTGCCCCCTATGGGTTATTCCAGTGAACCCATACTCAATTTTTTTTTATCAAACACTCCACTTCTATATAATCTTTTTTTCCGTCAACACCTATGGTTTGTTGTTGTTAGTTATTGATTTTTTATTGTTTTGGATTTACTATACCCGCTGTATGGCTAAGTATATGCAAATTAAGGGCACATTTTTGTGAAAACGTCTTCAGGCAGGTTGTACAGCTGAATGGCCTGTGTCCTGTTGATTTGAATATACACAGATTTATTTAGACATGATTTTGCTGTTTTTGTTCTTTTCAAATTGTCTTCATTCATAATTTTATAATTTTGTTTGTTTATTTATTTTTTTTGTACATTATAAAATAAAAATTTATTCCGAATTTCTTTTATCAAATATTCCGAAATAAACTTGATAGTTTTATTTCAATTTTTTGTCCAAAATTAAAGATCAGGCGAAATGGATAAAAATGTCAATGGCTTGAATATACATTTAAAACTTCAAATAACAAATTGAAGAAAAACGTACCATTAGAAACTAAACTCATCAACATAAACGATATTTTTATTTTGGATTTAAAATAATTAAACTTAGACACGTACTCATCAGGCTAATTTTCAGAGAGAGGATATGGAAACAAATTGGAAAGAAAAAAGAAAAAATAATAGAAAAAAATGTGTGGCCACAAAGCCGATGATCATTTTTTGTTTCTAAGCTTCTATTATGAATATTCGTGTGTCGCTGATTTCATGTTTTAAGTTTGTTTTTTGACATTTAAAAATATAATGTGAAAGAATGGAAAAAGGCAAACGAAATACATATTAGAATCATATCGATAAAATGTTGAATAACTCAGCGTTTAAATTTATTCAAAGTAATAATTTAATAATCGGACGCCAGTTAGATTGAAACCACGGGGATTTCACATCAACGTAAATGTTGTGTATGTTATGTATGTGTAATAAATTGCAAATTATTCATTAATTATGCTTTAAGGAAAACTTTAGACAAAATATAAATTTTGTTCGATTACGAATGAAATTAATTAAAAATAATTATGTCAACACTGTAAAACTGAAGGGATTAGAAATTAATCTTTTTGGATTTTTTAAATAAAAAATCCAAAAGGATTAAATTCTAATCCTGAATATATGGAAAAAATCCCCAAGTAGAATATTAAAACAATACTTAAAATAAATTGTTTGAATTCATTTTGTTAGTTGTCATCGATTTCACGGAGCAAAACATATCACAGCGGACGGCAGTTCGCGCGAGTGACGAAACCACATTAGTGTGTTGAAAAGTCGAACTCGCTATATATACACGTAATATACGAAATCCAGACCTAGAAGGCCGTTGGCCCCGGTTGATGTATGGTTGGAAAGGCCTTGGACTAATACTTTTTTGTTCAGGCACTTTTCGATATGGCCGCCATGTTGGCCCTAGCCGGCCTCCAAAAGTCACTTTTTGACTTTTTCAGTGACGGACACTGAAGCGCCATGACTTGACACCCCCCCAGACATATGCATATCATTGGAAAGGTCTTGAAGTGAGCTATCGAATGAAGCCATTTTCGGTCCAAAAATTTCAATTTGGTGTGGCCAAATTGGCCAAAAACCAAAAAGTTACCGTTTGGCTGGACACATAATGGTCATTAGCTCGAAAACTAGCCTTTCTTGGTCACTTGAAAATTTCACCGATTTTTAGGCCCAAGTCTAAGCTATAAAATGCCGCATAGCTCATATCTCAGAAAATTCTTGTTTTCGAGATATGGCCTTTGATAGTGCGAATATGACCAAAAATGGCCAAAAATGACAAAAAATGTTACTTTTAACATTTGAAGTATTTTATGGACCAAAATGTACTCCAATGACTATGAAGATATGCTCTGTGACTAGCCAAACAAAATTGAATAAAATATCGACCGAATTTTCACAAAAATGTCTAGATGCATGAAATATGAAATTTTAACAACAAATAACTACATGTTTGATAGTCTCTCCGCATAAGATCGATAAAATACAGAATCTTATGTCCCCTCCCACCAGGCCCGAAGGTGGACTATCGTCGGGAAAGGTGCATGCGGTTAGTCACAAATGAAATTAAAAGAAATCTACAAAAATGTTAGTATAAATGGCAAACTATGCAAAAGGTCATGCAAAAATGGCCATTATTTCATACGGTCGCTGTGGGACCCAGACTTGACATAACCAGGACATATGCATATTCGTTGGAAAGGTCTTAAAGTAAGTTCTCGAATGGTGCAAATTGCGACTTAAAAATTGGCAAAGGGTAAACGTGTGTTAAAAATGGGGAATTGGCTGTCAAAAATGGGGAATTGGCCCCCAAAAATGGGGAATTGGCTGTCAAAAATGGTGCGTTTGGTTGTCAAAAATGGGGAAATGGCTGTCAAAATGGTGCATTTGGTTGTCAAAAATGGTAAAATTTGGGTGTCAAAAATGGGGAAATTGGCTGACAAAAGTGGGGAATGGACCCCCCAAAAATGGGGAATTGGCTGTCAAAAATGCGTCGATAAAAAAAACCGAAAAAAATGTGTAAAAATTTCTTGAAATAATGAAAAATAATATTATTCGATGCAATTTGATACTAAA